TGTTGACCTGGCTGGCTTCCGCAAGCGGGGAGCCCCTCGGCGATTTCACGGGGCCCCGTGGTGGCGCCTGGCACACGGTTCGAGACGCCTCTGCCCGGCTGCCACGGGGAGGGCTCTGTGGACTTGTCCTTTGAAAGACCGGCGCCCGCCTGGACACCCCACCGGGCGTCAGACTGAAGACCTCCCTCTCGCTCAGGCTTTGGAGTTGCCGCCAAGACTCCTCCGCCCAGCCCCGCCGAGGGTCCCTCCGGGGGCTGCGGGAGCACCGGACCTGCTCAGACCCCGCCACGACGGGCGCGCGCGCTCCCAGCCAAGCCCACCCGCCCCAAGCTCACTGGGCCGCCGGCCTCTAGGGCTGTCCTCGCCGGCCGGCCGGAACCCTGCGCTCCCAAACCAGGCGGCGGGCGCGGAGCGACCACATTCCAACCTCCACGGACCCACTCCACCCTCCGCACAAGCCAGGGCCTGGGGGCAGTGTCCCATTCCATGGACCCCTCCTGGTGGTCTCAGGGGAACCCCAGTCCCATCTGTAAGGTCAGAACCCGCCAACCCAGAGAAAAGTCCCCACCCTGTCTTCCATGACGCCAGGACCCCAAATCAGACCTTTCCCCGGCGCTGCCACCCTACCCCGGCTTCCCATCCCAGTCTGGGGTCCTGGCCTACACTGGTAGCTCTGTGGGAAAGCCCCTCTTCCTGAGCCCAGCGTAAACTCACCTGAGCCCCTCCCCACCCACCCTTGCCTATGGAGTGGAACCGAGGAAGGAGGGGTAGGTGGAGGGAGATGGGGAGGAGGGAGGGAAGAAAGAGGGGGTGGGGAGGGAGAGGGAGGAAGGAGGGGTGATGGACAGATGATGGGAGGGGAGGGAGGGAGGGAAAGAAGGAAAGAGAGAGGTGTTAAGAGGCCCCCAGATGCCCGCCCCCCTCGTCAGTGCCTGTCCTTGGGCCTGCCCTGGTGAAGTAAGTGAGGTGACATGGGGGCGGGGGGGATACGTTGTGGGCGTGGGCGTGGCGTCTTCCTGGTCATGCTCAGGACTGAGCAGGCCGGCCCTGCCCGCTCCCAGAGTTACCCCACCCCTTCCCTGGGGAGGACACTGGCCAGCCCTGAACTTTCCGCCTTGGCCTCTGATGTTAACACCCCTATCCTGCCTTACTTTTAATGGGCTCCCCTGCTGCCCCTCCCTGCATCACCACCTGGAAGGCCAATTCCGCCCACTGAGACCCCCTGCACCTGCTATCCAGAGGCAGGACACCTTGGGGGTGCCTCCTACCCCAGGCCTTGCCACCTTTTCTGAGAGCCTCAGACCTCCACCACTGAAATCTGGAGTCCCCCTGGGGCAGCCCTAAGCCAGTGGTCTCCCTCAGCTACCCACAGCCTGCCATCCAGCACGGAGCACCCATGACCAAGGAACATGGATGGATCTTCATCGCGGGCCATCAGCACCCCGGATTCCTGCCAGATCCTCAGAACCACCCCAGGCACCCCAACTCACCCCCTGCTCCCTGTACCAGCAAGCTACAAGTATCTGGTCCTCCTCCGAGACTGGGCCTTGGGAGAAGGGGTGACCCAACACTGGCCTTGCCCTAAACCCGTCCCATTGCTGAGAA